TCTGTATCAGGTTAAAGGTTTATTATATTGTAAAATTCGTAATATCAAAATTCGTTATAAAAAAAACTGACTGTATTATTTATAAAAATTAAATCAATCTAAATATAATAAGCAAAACTCATAATTAAAATAATACAATAATAAATCTTTGTAATCAAAATTTTGATTTGTATATTAAAAATAAAAAGTCAAAATAATAATTTAAGCATCATATTATAATTATGCATTATATTATTTATAAAAATTAGATCAATCCAAAAATAACTTAATAAATATAATATATCAGACAATTAGAATAGATCTATAATAACAAATCATCATTTTGATAATAAATAAAAATCATTATAAAATTTTTCAATATAATTTAGTAAAAAATCAATAAGCAATTTCAATACAAGTTCAACAAAAATTGGTTAAAAATTAATAAAACAATGTGATTTCTCAACATAATTTCAATATAATTTCAACAAAATTTTAACACAATTACATAGGATATTGTTTGATCAATATATCAAAATTTCTTATAACTATAATATTGTTTTATTTCATAAAAAATAAAAAATGTAGTTATTACGTAACCTTTCAAATTATTATTTTATTATAGTAATAAAATTATTGAAATTAGTTTATTTTGAAGAGACAAATTATTATTTAAAGCTTCTTTTTTAAGCTTTTTAATAGATCTTAACTTTTTTTTTTCATATTAAAAGTTTTTTCTTGTTGTTTCAAATATAAAATTACTTTATCATAAGCCTCAATAACTTTTTTAGAAAGAATTATTAGTGATAAAGAATCTTTCTCTCTTTTGTTTTCTTGATTAGATAAAATTGCTTTTAAAATTTCTTCATTAGATATCATTTTGTTCGTAATTTTAGACTTATCATACTTAACAAATTCTTTAGTGGAAAAAGGATTATCAAAATCTAGTTTATCAATTAATACTTGAACTTCTTTTATTTTCTTTAACCATTTAAGTTTAAGTAATATATCATTATTGATTTCATTCTTATTTTCATAATTATTATTAGGTAAAATATTTACTTTTATCCAATAATTTTCAATTGTTCTATTTGTAACATTATCTCATGTTTGTAAAATGTATTTATATACTTTTTAATATCAATTTTAGAAGGTTCAATACCATATTCATTAAATTTATTAAAAACTTTAACCTGAGTTTATAAATATAGCTTTTGATATTATGCTTAAAATAAGTTAAATTAGAATTAAGTATAAATAAAGTATAAAATATAATAATGTCAATTATATTTTAACTAATAAATTATTAAATCAATTACATTTCTCACCTTAAACTATTTATAATACCTTAATCACAAGGTTAGAGGTATATAGCAGGTTTGGAAAGGGGATTAAAAAGTAATATTAGTTAGGCAGATAGTTTTATAAAGAGTATGTATTAGAGTATTGTTTACAAGAAAGATAATTTTCTGATTTTGTCTTTTCATTTTTGTATCAAGTTTTTTATATAATCATTTTAGATTGAAACCTGTATTTAACTTTTTAAGTTCTAATAATATTCGATTAGAAACATTCTTTTATTAATATTCTTAATAACTCTAGAATTTTCATACTTGTGTATGAACAAAGGTGTCAGCTTTTCACTTTCTGTTACGTTACATATGAGTAAGATTATTATATGATCCTTTGATTATTTTATTTTTGAAGTTTGTTCATTAGATATTATTAAACATAGTTTCATATTTTAAAACAGTCCTGTTTTATCACAATTGAATATATCTTTGAGACTATAATCTTTTAATATTTGTCAGAGATTCTCTCTCATTGTTTTGAGATTTTTAAACAGCTTTTTCATGTATATAGTATTGTTTAAGGTTGTGTTATTTTTTAAAGTTGTCCACCTAATAACTTGACCTTTTAAACTTATCTTCTTTTAATAAAAAAGCAAAAATCAAAGCTTTTATTAAAAGAATATTATCAGTAATAATAAAGTTAGTTTTGAGTGCGTTATCTATTCAAATTGCTAACACTTTTTTAATGAAAAGGAATGGAGTTTTCTTATCATATTTCAAATTGGCTTAGTATAAATTGGTATTCATAGAAAGTCATCAGTCTTTCTCCTTTAAAATGTTATTTACTATACCTTTACTAATGTTATATTTATTAGCCAAGTCTTTTTGTTTTAAAAAAGGTGATAATATTTTTTTCAAATAAAGTTTTTTTTGCAACTATAAGAGATTTTATTTATTTAAAGGTTTATCTTATTTATTAGTAGATTTATTAAGTTGTTTCTTTAAGTTTACTTTTAATATTATCCAAAAAAAAAAAATAAAATATATAAAAAAAATCATGAAATACATGATACAATATATAATACAAAATATTTATTCATTCTTCATTTTATTTAAAAACTAGGTATAGAGAATTACAAAATTTTATATACATAAATATAGTTAAGCAAAACTTTATTGTAGCAAAAAAAATTTATTATAGAGATAATTTGTTATAAAAAGGGTCATTTTATATATAAATTTTTTAACTTTAATTTATTAAATATAATATGAATTTTTAATTATCAAATTCAATATAATAAGATTTTTTTTATACTTAAAAATCTGTTTAACACTGAAAATTCTTTGTATTATAAATTTGTTATATTAAAATTTGTTGTAAAAAGAGTTGACTATATAGAGAAATCCTTTTTTAGTAATGGTGATAGAGGTGATGGTAGTATTATTAGCATTTTGAGAAGTTAATTCTAGAAAAATAGAAGATATATTATAAAAGTAAGTATCAAAAGGAAACATTTTATTAGTAATATTTTTTGCTTTAACTAATAATGCAAGATATTTAATAAACTGCTAAATTTTTTAGTTACTTAATCTATAAGAGTATTTTATGATTTATGATTTATAATTTTGAATTTTATTTTTTAATGATATAACACTGTTAGTTTCTTTATTAATTTATAAATTATAAATATAAATTCAAGAAATAAATTTATTTTAAGTATTAGCTATTCCTTATAGATATATTACAAATCTATTTAAATTAACCTATCATCATCTTTTCTTTTAATAGACTCATTAATTATACAATTAATGACTACTGTTATCACTAAAAAAGAAAAAAAAAGATTAGTGCTTATTTAAAAATCTGAAAATTTGTTATCATGTTGATTTTTCAGGTAAAACTAAAATTTTCAAATATAGGATTCATCAGGAATAAGTTGATAATTTATAAACTTGTTTGCATTATATAAGCATTTGTCTTTTTTTGTTATACTTTCAGATTATTCTTTTTTATCAATAAAATTGCATTTTAGTTTTCAAATATTGTCATATATCATCTTAAGAAAATAAACATCTTTTTATTATAATTGAAATGACCAGAGATTTGATTTTAATAAATTGGTATATCATGAAAACTATTAAGAAAAGAATGTGAGATCTGATAATATTGTAAAATTTATCATTATTGTAAGAAGGAGTGGCAAAGATATCATCAAAAAAGTTTAAAAAATTAAGAAGAAATAAAAGAGTATGAAAACTATCATTTTTTAGGATAAGTTTATCAGCAAAGTCTTTGTTATGTATTGCAAGTCAAAAAATGTAAAGATATTTCATTTTCAACATAATATCTAATATAATATTATTCAACATAAAGGTTAGGATAAAGTTATTTCATATGTATGAGAGTTAGAAGTTTATTAATAAAATTTTTGATAATGAAAGTCTTAAAATAAGCAAAAGTAAAAGAAGTTAATAGAGCTAATGTATTCAATGAAAATAAAGACCAAATAGTAATCTAATTAAAGATAATTATTGCAATTAAAAAAATAGTGCAATTAAGTTGTAAATTGTGATGCAATTAAATTTTCTTATAGCATAATTAAGTTGCAACTCAATTAAAATTTGAAAATAATTATAGAGATTATTTTTAGATCTAATCAATTGATGGATTTTTAGTCATATCTTTGAGATCTGAATTTCTATTAAAATTCAAGAAACAATCAAAAGTTTAGATAAAAAAAAAATTCTTTGAAGAAGTTATAAATTAAACCTTTTATAGAAATATTTTAGTAGTTAAAAAAAGATTCTTGAGTTACAATTAACTAAGAAAGGAGTTAAAAATGAAGCATAACATTTTTGCTTAACAAAAGAGTCAGCGACATTATTGAAAACATCATCTGTATATAATTTAATTTTAGTAAAATTGATAATGAAATCATTTTAAGTCTAAAATAGTTTTAACTAATAAAATTTTACATCTTTATCAAGATTTTTTATAGATTACAAAAGCTAATTAGAATTAACTCAATTATTAAACAAATGGATAATAAAATACTTTATATATAATTTTTTATTATATTTTATACTAATTATATTATAATAATTTATTTTAAAAGTTTTTATATTAAAATTTTTAAATTTAATGATTTTATTCTTTAATTTATTTAAAATACTTTTATATTATATTTTCTTTAACTATTAAAATTTTATTAATATTTATATCAATTTTATTTACAAATATTTTATTATATATAAAGTTTTAAAATATAATTTTAATATATAATTATTTAAAGAAATTTAAATATATAATTTCTGTAACATTTTATCCTTTTTATTAAGATCTATTATCTCTTTAAATAAATATATAATTTTAATATACTATTATAAATATAATAAGTATTAATAATATTTTATTTAATTTAAATATGTTTTCTTTTGTTATATTTTCTTTAAACATAAATATGATATTTAATTTGAATATATTGCAGAATTAATTAAGACAACTTTAGATGCTTGATTACTGTATTTTTAAATTTGTTACTTTTGAAATTGCTATAAAAATCTGAATTTAATCTATTTTTCAAAAAATTTTTTTTTTTAAGTTTACCAACTTAAAAAAAAAGAAAATATTATAAAAATAGATCTTTAAAATCAAAATATATTTTTTTTTTCTATTTTAACCAAGCATCCCAAGCTTTTTAATTATTATAAGCAGATAAATACATTATCATGACAACTGGTATGAAATATAACAACAACAAGTCCACTATCTATGTTGGTATGAAATTGACTTATGGGATCATCTCTCCCTCTCTCTCTCTCTCTTCGTTATCCAATATTTAATTCAAAATCATTGCGTTAACCTATAAATAGGTGGACTAGACGATCAAGTTAATGAACAAATATTACATGCAGCATTTATTCCCTTCGGTGACATAGTAGAAATTCAAATTCCACCGGATCCGGCATCTCGTAAGGGAACCAAGATTACGCGCATCCTTCTAAATTTGATAGCTAATCGATTTTTTTTTTGCCTAGATAATCAACACCGTGGATTTGGTTTTGTAGAATTTGAAGAAGCAAGTGATGCACAAGCTGCAATAGATAATATGAATTTATCAGAACTTTATGGTAAAGTAGTAAAGGTTAATTTGGCGAGACCGATTCGAATTAAAGATGGAAGTATGAGAGCAGGTAATGCTATATTTAACGAAATTATCTGGAAGATACTTTATTTGAAATCAAAAAATTAACATTAAATTATTTGAATAGTATGGTCCGAGGATGCGTGGTTACAAAAGTACGCCCTTAAATCAGCTGATCCGAACGTACCTTATGAATCAGATGAAGAGCAAGATGAACAAGATGAACAAGGAGAACAAGGAGAACAAGAACACGTAGAAGCACAAGAAACGCTAGAAACACAAACGAAATCAAGTACAACTCAAATGGATACTTCTGAGGATATATAGATTTTTGATGATATTATTTATTAATATAAGCGCGAGGAAAGGATTTTTTTTTTTAGAAGTACAGTATATAATAGTAACAATAATAAAAAACAAATAATTATGATTAATGGGATTAGAAATCAATTCTTTTTTTTTTTACAATACAGGTGATATTTAAACTTTTGTCGTCTTTGGCATTGATGGAACATTTTCTTGACTTTTTTCAAATGCTTTATAATCCCGAATAGCTTTTCGTTTCCTCTCCTCATCCACACATAAAATATCCTTTGGACTAAAATTAAGTTGATCAATTTCTCTACTGAAATGAGGAGGACATAAAGAAACTTTATTATGAAGTGTAATACCACGATCAATTAATTCATGAAAACTAGTTAGATTACCCCAAAGATCAGTTACGGGTAATTGATTAAAATCGGCTAGGTGATTATCGGGTAATTCCTTATAAATAGTATTTTCCATCATCAATGGAACACCAAATATAGTGGAATAAGCGGGTTTATTTTTTCGAAATTGAATATGTGTACCGATTTCGGCGTGATTAGTAGAAAAACTGGTAAAGTTTTTGAAGTTTGGATACAACATAACGTAACCTCTTAAATAAACCAATTCAATAAAATATTTCTTCCAAGATTTCTTCCATTTATAAGAACGACTTTCCGGTACTATGATTGATTGTAAATGATATTTCGTTTCATCATCTAATCTTTCGGCAAGATAATCATGAAATTCTCTCCAAACCTCAGGGAAATATATGGCGCCCCAACTACAAGGTATTTGAGATAAATAAGGAGATCTGATGGGGAAATTCGTCCCATTAAATTTGGATTCAGGATCATAAGGTTTACGACCAAGCATATTCAATTCCATTTGTCTTTGTCCATATAAACTGATACCATATAATCTTTGACTGTGATTTTTATCGGGTCCGTAACGATATTTTAATAAATTATACTTGATCCAAAGATAAAAGAATGGAGACACTTCGATATCATCCTCTAATAGAACGGCATAATCATGATAATTATAAGGATAATAGGATTCTACCACGGCAGGTAATAATCCACCTTGAACCACCCTATGACGAACGGTTTTTTTACCATGGTTCCATGAGAAAGTTGAGCAATACTCCAAGGTGACAGGATCAGCTCCTCTATCAATGTTTACCGTTAAAGGAATATTCTCATCACCAAAATAATAGGATGAGTTTAAAGAATTAACTAATCTTGATAATGAATCCGGTCGATTTTGTGTTATTATTTGTAATTGAATTATTGGTTCATTCCATTTCTTTAACGCTTCAAACGGTAAATCTATCATCAATCCTATTATGTGTGCGATTTCTTCTAATGGTAAATTAATTATTGATATATCGCCATTAAATCCTTCGATCGCTGATGAAATCCCTTTCATTAGGAGATTTTTCGTGGTTACTTTTGCATAAATCAATAATTCCGGTTTTAGGTATTCCGTCATACGTAAAACATTTTGATAGATTTGACTTTTAACATTAAAATCATTTTGTATCTCAAGATCAAGATCATACACTTCAATACGTCCGCATGATGATCCTTTTTTTTTGATGATGCGTTTTAATCTTGATCCACTTAATCCAAAATTCTCTCCCGTCGTAATGATTTTAACCAAGTTATTATCCACTAATGATAATTGACAATAAAGTGGCCTAAAATATCTTTCTTGATCAGATCCTTCAAGGAGAAATAATATGCTATTCTCCTTCCTTCGAAAAGGTTCTTTTGTAATTAAAGGATACCCACGTTCAATATAACGTAACCAAGCATCATCATTTACAAATTCTCTTCTTATTTTCTTGCAATGAATTGACTTTGAACGGGTATCACCCCACGAATGTTGATCAAGTGTAGGAATTAAAATCGAAGGTATGTTAACATGATATCGAAGGGAGAAACTAATCAAAAATTCTAATGGAAGGTCAAGAATGTCCCTTCTAGCTTCCTTGAACATTATTGGTAACCATTTTCTTTTTAGAAACCAAATATTTGTTAACATATCGACGTCTTTTGATATACGTGCGACGTTATTCTCGGAAGATACAAGATGATCCTCATAACAAGTTAGCGAAAGGTCTTGAACCCGGTTGGGAACACCATTAAAATTGATCCCCATCGTACCTAATATAGAATTATTATACTCCTCGGTATGAGATATGTGCAACATATTTTGTAAGTATTGCTCTCCTAATATCGCACCAGAATTTAATAATAAAACGTATTTCGTTTGAGCTTTTTGTTGAATGATTTGTAAATATGTAAAGGGTTTTATATCATTGTTGTTATTTATAACGTGGATTTCTAAGTTTTTTGCCGATTTTTTTACCTGTAATATTCTATTTACATTTTCGGATGTAGTAATTATTAAAATTGATTCGGGTTTAATTGATTGAGATGCTATCGCATTCAATTGTTTTCCGATATGATTATCTTTATTATCATGAATGATTACTATTGTTACTGGTACATCGTGATATGAAGTCGAATTCCAGGTTGAATTTAAATGTAATAACTCTATATATGTATGACCTTTCAAGACACCCGTGTCTTTAAAATTTATATCTTCAAAAGAAGTATGCAAAGTATCGTTTGAAATTTGGAGTATGGTTTGTTGTTTCAAGTAATATGTGGCAAATAAGAGAAATGAAAGTGAGATGAGGGTTATGTAACGAAAAAATCTTGAAAAGGAACTTGAACGTAATGAAAAGCACGTTATCTTGGCACGCTTGTGATAAGAAGAACGAGCTGGTAAAAGTTCTTTTTGATACATTGTATCTTTCCAAGAGTATTGTTTCTATCCCGAAGGAATGGAAAAAAAAAGAATGTAAAGAAAAAAAAAAATATATATATATATATATGATGAAAAATGATGAAAAATCGAGAAGCACTAATTAAATTTTTTTTAAATACTTTTTAAATCGGTTTAATTCTAACTATATTTGGTTTATGATATAAATAGTGTAAAATATTTGCATCATCCCGTCGGCTATTAATTGAATTTCTATTCTTCTATTTACCATATTTTTATTTATTTGTTTCCAATGGAAAAAGATTATCATTTGTAATCTAAACAAATAACTCAATTATATTTATAATATCCATAATTGGTAATAACCGCCCTTTCCCCAGACCAATTATACCAATTAAATATCAACAACAATATTAAATTTATTTATATTTTATTTCGATCAAAGGTAATTCATTGCATGACGACGTAAATTCAATTATTTATTATTTTTTAGTTGAATACTTTCGAGGGCTTATTTCTTTTAACGTCTTCAACATTAATTCACGAGTCGAATTCGTTAACTCATCGATTTGTTCTTTATTCTCCACATCAATGTGCGATACCTCAATGGGCGGTAAAACTACGAAATAAAAGATTTGTTAACAACGAGGAGGATTAATGAGGGTATTATTTTAAATCAATATGTACCTTTGATGTTAATTTCACCACCAGGGAATATTTTACGTTTAGAATCATAATTATCGCTATAATTGGCAACTACAATAGGAACAACTGGTATCTTTGCTTGTACGGCCATATGAAAAGCACCTTTTTTAAATGGTAACAAATCCGCTTCTTGTAACCTTGCTCTTGTACCTTCTGGAAATATGAAAACGCTTATCTTTTGTTCCCTTATATCATCAGCGGCTTTGGTTAACGCTTGTACTGCACTGCCATGATTTTTACGATCAAGAAATACCGCTTGTCCAAGTGACACTAATTAAAAAATTTAAATGGTTAAATTAAAAATAAATACATCTGCGGTGTAATCTCGTGATCTATGGTAGTATGAACTTACAAAACATTCCGAGAAGAGGAACGAATCTCAAAGAAGCTTTGCCTACAACCACACAATGTTTGGGAAATATTCTTGCCAATACCAACACATCAATAGCAGCTTGATGATTACATATATATACAGCCGGTTGTACATTCAAATTTTCTTCACCATGTACTTTAAAAGAAATTCCAACGGCAGGGATAGCAAAAAATCCATAAGATCTTGCTGTAACATAATTTATTAATCCTCGTTTACCAATCAAACTAAATAGAACTGCTATGAAACTACCATACGCTGAAAATATGAATAAAAATATCAAACTTATAATCCCACGCACTCCAAACTGTATTTTCTTATTAATTCGACTTCCCGTATATATTGCTCCTATAATCATTGTTATATAAAGTGGTTGAATTGGCATTACTTCAAACATCGTCTTCATTTGTTCAAATGTAATCATAATAAAATTATAAGTGGGTAAATTTACAAAAAAAGGAGGACACTGAATAATGCTGATAAGGTTTAATAGAGAGTTGTTTTGATTTGGAAAAAGAAAAAAGAATTTAAACTACTTTTATATAAATCACTTCAGAATTTAATTATCCATTTTTGGTTTAGAATGCCTCATGATTGATTTATTTTTTTTTAGCCCCCAAAAGAATGCGTAATGATTTACTTTTTTTCCATGTGTCATAAAATAGGATGTATATAATTCTGCATTTGGCAAATGATCTTAATCTACGTTTTTTCTTTAATGTACGACAAACTTACATCACTTTATTTAAAATAGTTTCGCCCGAAACTTTATCTGTTGCATGACACTTTTTTTTTTAAGACCCCCATTATTTATGTCTTGATTTGACTGATTTAATTAATTTAAATTTCAAATTAATATTATTATATCCAGTAATATAAATTTTAATGTCGATCATCAAAAAATTGAATGGGGCGTTAAAAATATCGGTCGAAGACCGATATTTTAACGCCTGCCATTTTTATTAGAGAGCTTTTACTTTTATCTATAATATATTAAACGTCAAGTCAAAATTTTAATATCAAAAATATAAATGTAATTAATTAAGTTTAATCTTACAATTTCTATCAAATAAATCTATTAATCATATACACTAACTACCTTATTATAAATTACCGGATTTTATAAAAAAAACTTAGCAAAATAACATTTTTTTATACTATATAAAAAGCTTACATATATAAAAATTTATTATATTTTAATATTATAAATTTATAAACTTTAAATATAATTATTAATTTTAATATTTATTATTAGTATTTTTTAATCAATTCTGATAATTTATAGTATAATCTATTATTTTAAATAAAATATTTTATTTATTTTAATAATAAAATTATTATATTACTATTATTATTATTAATGTTACTTTAATTATTTATGTAATTAAAATTATAATATCAAATATTAGGATATTTTTTAAATTTATATGAAAACAATATAAGGTTTGATGTATATAAATAAATTATATATATTATAAAAATAATTTTAATTTTACAGATTAAACTCAAGTTTAGAAATATTCAATAACATTTATTCTTAATATTTTAATTTTTAATATTTTTTTATTTTTTTTTACATATTATATATTTTTAGTTTATTTATATTTTATTTATTAAATTAATTAATTATAATATAACAATTAGTTAACTGTAATAAAGAAATTTTATATAAATAAATAAGCTTTGTATATATATTGTAAATTAACTCATTAATCAAAATAATTCAAATTATCTAAAACTCAGATGACTGATTTAGATTAATTTTATGACAGATTTAGCATATTTTTTAATTAATAAATTCTTTTTGTATTTTAGATAATTTTTTTTAACATTTTGGTAAACATGTAAAAAAAAAGAAAATTTGAAAATAATTGTAAAGGATAAAATTTAAATTGAAATTATTTTTTAAAAATGAAAAAAATTAAGCTTATTTATATAAATATTCCTATATATACTGAAAATAAACTCAATAGTATATTAAATTAATATTAATAAATCATCTTTTTAATTTGGCAAGTTCTCTAAATAATTGATATTATTTTAGTAAAAATATCAAATTATAAGAAAATTTTAGTTTAATTTAAAAGTTAGTTTGTTAAAACAATAAAACATCATTTTAAATAAATGATAAAAAAATTGTTTATAATATATTAATCTAAATTAATGATAAAGAAATCATTTAATTAGAATAACTATAATATTATTTCTTAGAAATGATAAAAGAATCATTTCAAAAGAAGGATAAATATATCATTCCTTAGAAATGATAAAAAATATTATTCTTTTGAAATAATAAAAGAATCATTTCAAAAAAATATTATTATTATTCTTTATAAAAGAATCATTCTTTTAAAATAATAAATACATTATTTCTTAGGAATAATAAAAAATATTTTTTTTTAAAACAATAATAATATTATTTTTTAGAAATAATAAAAAGTTTCTTTCCTATAGAATGATAAAAAACATTTTTCTTTTAAAATGGTAATATAAATATATTATTCCTTAAAAATGATAAAAATATTATTTCTTTGAAAGATAATAATAATGTTTTTTAGAAATTATAAAAGAATTGTTCATTAAAATTATTCTAATTGAATGATTTTATATTATTGTTTAATTAAATTGATATAATATTTCAATTGAATAATTTTTTGTATTATTATTCAATTAGAACAATATAATTATTTCAATTGAATGATTTTTAAGTTTCATTTAATTAAGATGATATAATCATTTTAATTAAACAATTTTTATTTTATTATTTGATTAGAACTAAAGATGGGTCACCGCAATTAAAAAAAATGGCACAATTGAGTTGCAACTTGTGGCGCAATTAAATTTTCTTATGGTGCAATTAAGTTGCAACTTAATTGAAATTTGAAAACAATTATGGGGACCATCTTTAATTAGAACGATATAATTATTTCTTTAAAATGATACAAATATTGTTCAATTAAAATGATTTAAAATTATTATTTTTAAACGTATAATTCAGACTGATTAAATCTTTTAAAGAATTAATTTGGCTATTAATCCTATAAAATATTAGTAACTGATATATTTCCTTCTGAATTTTATTTTATTTTAATATATTTTAGCTAATTTTCAATGTATGTTATATTAGATATAAATTAGATGTCAATTAGTTATAAATAAGATTGGTGAATTTAGTTAATTCTTAATGTATACCAATCAATTATAAGTATGCTAATTAGTTATAAATAAGATAAGTCAAATTTTGGTTGATTTTTGGCTGATTTTTAATAATTTGCTAATTTTAGGCTGATTTTTTGCATGTCTGATCTTTTTGATTTTAACTAGTAATTCTTTATAAGTCATTTGCAAGTTTTAATATTATAATAAAGCAATTAATTAAAATTTATAACTTCTAATTCTTCATGTTTTTATATAGTCTGATGTAATTTTTATATAATAATTAAATTCATTATCTAATTTTCTAACTAATTTTTGTAATTTTATCTTTCAAGTCTTTATATTTAACAGATTTGTTAAATTTAACATATAAATTAACAAAATTAAGAATTAGACAGATGCTAACATCTTAATTACAGTAATAGTAATTTCAAGTAGAAATTTAAGAATATTCTTAATTCAAGTTAGAGAATTCTATAGTGTAATAATATATAAATTATGATATGATTATAGATTTCTAGTTTAAAGTATCTCTTATAGTATAGTATTCTTTAAAATTCTTGAATTTGTATTATACCTAAATACAATAATTTACTATCTATAATATAATTACATTTTCTAAATCTAACTCTCTATCATTATCCTTATTTTTATTATTTACTTTGCTTTATAATAATGATTATAAAATTATTTGATTTATTTAAAAATAATTGAGATTCAAATTAACATAATCGATTAATAGTAAATAATCTTAATTTATATTATATTAATAATTTATATTAAATAATATTTATATATTTATATATTTTAAAATTTTTAGTTATTTAAGTTCTTGATCTAAGTAAATTGCAGAAGATATTATATATAATTATCAATTTCAAATAAATATTTACTTCCAATTGCATAAACTATAATATCTAATATTAAATTTTCTAAATATAATAAATACAAGAAAGAAACATTTGAAGAAAACAAAAACTTTCAAGAAGATCATATTTCTTTTAATAATCAAATTATTAAAGAATTGAGTTATAAATTTCAGTTGGATGATCATAATGTTTAAACCCTATACTAGGGGTTTAGTTTCCAGATTGTTTGATGGTATGGTAAGCTTGGTTGTAATTTGCATCTGAACGAATACCTTGTTTGACCCCTTTATTCAGTAAGACAGCTGAATATCTAACAATGCTTACTTTGTGATGTGATCCTAAGTGGGTACGATATCTGTTAAGCTGGTGATTATTGCATCAAACGAGATTAAAATAAACTTATAGAAATGTTAAAACTACCAACACCTTGCAAATATTGTGATCATTATAGAACGATTAGAATTGCAAATTAAGGAATTGAAAATTGATAATGTCACAAAATAATGGTAGTAAAAATGATTATGTAAAATTTAATTGTTCTTAAACATAATTATTTTCATCGTCATATTTATTTCTATTGTAAATTGTAAACTCATAACAGAATCTACACAGTTTTCTAAAATTTTAATAAACATATGACAAGGGTACTTTATTGGCATCAACGAGAAGTTAATTTACCAATTCCATCTGTTCACTAAGTTGATTTAAGTTTATGCTGAACCACATTCAGAATACCAAATATATATATAACTATTTTTTAGAATTCTAAAAAAAGGTTTATTTTGACTATATAAAATATTAGAGATGAGAATGAAAGAGAAAAAAATGAAATAGTAGTATAATTTAAAAATGCATTAGAAGTAAATAATGATAAATTATATAAAGCCTTGAATTTTCGGTTATCAACTTTTCTAACGTTAACACACTAACGTTCAATTAATTCAATTGATTAAGTAGAGGTGATCCAGTCTATCCGAACAACCAAACGAATCATCCGGATTGACCGGATATCTTTGATATACGGAATGTCCGTCCTTTAATTTAGAACACCACCAGACTTGAACCTTTTTTTATTCCCTAAACGTTTCTTTCTTTAAAGTTGTGTGCTGATGCTTCAACGAGAAGTGGTTTTGATGGATAAACACATGAAGTCTATGTCTCGCTGTTCTGAAAATTCTTTACCTTTCGGACGTCGAACCTTAACCTTGGAATCTTGGATTAGAACTAAGTTCTAATAGAGGAATTCGTTAGTCATTTTGTTTTTTATTTAAAAATACTAATACTAACACTTACCCTTTGTATTGTATATATTTTCAATATCATATACAGTAATTGACTTGCGCAAGTAAAATTGCGTGATAAATCACGCGAATTATGTAATGCTGGAAACGGATTACTATGGACACGAGAAAATGAAAAATCTTAATATGAAAACACGTATATGAATGCGCGTCAAAATTTTAATTAACAATATAATACATACTCGATATCCTATCTTTTGTTAGCGAAATGATATAAGAATCAAAGCCTATCAATAAATTTAAAAAAAAAAAAAAATGAAAAAAAAATAGTTAAAAACCTTACAAAGGAATTCATATAATTATTATATTAACTATTATTTTTTTTTTTTTTTTTTTTTTTTTCAGAAAAGTAAGTAGTTTGGTCAACATAAACAATTTCTGATTGTTGAGCTTGAATATTTTGAATATTTGATCATCATTAAAAAAAAGAAAAAAAATATAAAATCACTGTATTTACCTAGTCGAAAAAATTTTCCTTTTCATTTTAGTTCATAAATTTCATTAATTGGCAAAAAGTAACCAACTTATTAAAATTAATAATTAATCAGTCAATTTGTCACATCATGCTAAAATGACAGAAAAGTTAATAAAACATTAAATTGATAATAATAAAAAAAAATGAACATTAATCTGAACATATCAGAAGCAAAAAATGACTTCAGTTTTAATTTCTCAGAGAGATTCCCAGCTTGCTATTAAACATCATATGTTTAAACGATTATGAAAAACGAATTAAATCATATCTAACCTCTTTAATGAGCATCATTATAATATCCAAGTTCTTAAATATAATATTTCTAAGTCTGAGATGCGTAGCAACATGAAAAAAAAATTAATCGTGATTTATATATTTTATAAAATTCTACGTGACTAATAAATTAGTTGTTCTAACCTTGGCAAGGGACCAATTTCTACAAAAATGGTAGTAAAAGCAAAATAAAACCATTAAAAATTTCATTCTCATCAAAAACGAAGAGTCTGATTCAAGCGCATGAATTTTGTAGTAAACTTTCAAGATGGAGTTGTCAATAGAATAAATTATGTGTGCTATTTTCTCATTTCAACATAATTGTAATGTGAATGATGACTAACAAATAGAGAACTTTATTTTATTTTTTATTAACGGCTGGAGGTGCATCCGCGAAATTGAGTATTGGAGACTCAACCTGTCAAAGCTTATCAAAATTTTACTTTAAATAGGTAACCAAAAAGACATTCCAAAATTTGTGTCAATCAATCAATGTTACGTAATAACTAACATATGACGTAAAACTTATAATTTATTGGCATTTAAACAATAATAGCTATGAAAGTAATAATTAAAAAAATTTATTCAATATCATTTAATCAAGAAAGGAAGAAAAAACGCTAAAAATAATCATCTTATTTAGAAGTTTGAAATATATAATAGTATCGAAGTTTCAAACCTAGCGTTACCTTGAGGTAATAAAATTTCAACTTCCAAATTTTGATATAAGAAACCTTTTCTTTTATATCAAGAATTCATTTACCTTTGTAAAAAAGTTCTCTAAAATCTTCATTTGATTTCTTTGAAGTATTATTATCTTCCATACCAACTTCAATTTCCATTTGACTTTCTGAGGACGCGTTTGTAACCTCAGCCGTCTGTTCTTTGCTTGAAGATCTTTGACCCGATTTTAACCCTGGTACCCCAGGCCTTCTGGCTTTACCAAGTTTACTAGAAGGTGCAACCAATCTTCTTGGAACCATAGTCATGCTTGTAGGTTTACCTTCTCTTTATTCCAAAGAAAAAAAAAAAATTAAGAATGAGAAATTATTTTGAGCAATTAAAAAAGGACTAGCTTATATACCTTCGAACGGCTAATTCTGTAAGAGTTGAAGGTAGGTCATTTCTAACTGTTGCAGAAATAATTTTATTATTTAACTTGTATTTATTAAAATGCAATTCTGCTTTTCCGGTATCCTGACAATTGAAAAAGAATGTTACAATCAATAATAAATCATTTAAATTTATGATAGAGATATTTATTTAAAATTAAATTACTTCAACATTTTCAAATTCGACGTGTGCAGATCCACTATCAGGCGCCATAGTAATCTTATGAAATTCCTCATCCTAATAAAAAAGAAAGTAAATGAATATTTTGATGCATATCTTGTAAACATGAAAATTTAATTTTACCTTAAAAATTTGAGACAACATATCACGGATATCATCTTCAGAAGTGTCTTTAGGCAATTTAGTAAAAGTAACAGTTCTCGATCGTTTTTCACTAAATATTTTTTATGATAGTTAATTCCGAGATAAACATTGTAAATATTAATATTAATCTTTATATCGTTACCTTTCCTTAACTTCTTCCTGTTTACGTTTGACTTCCTTCTTTTTTTCATTAGCGGTACCTTCTTTTTGACCACGATTGCGATCAGTTACGCTAAGTGAAACACTTAAAACATATCCTTTAAATTCCGTAGAATTTAAACCAAGAGACGCTTTCGCATCCTCCTAAAATTAAATATTAAAATAAGATATCGCAAACAATAATTAATTAAATAAATAATCATATAGTAGATATTATTACCTTATTTTTGAATTCTACAAATGCGACCCCCTTACATTTCTTATCAGGCGTCTTAGGCATTCTAACATGAATTACTGGTCCATACTATTAAGAAAAGTAATAATCTTAACAACTTAATTGAATTAATATCTTAATAATAATAATGTAAAAATATTCACGGGTTGAAACATATGCTTTAATTCATCTGTTTCTGCATTGCTAGGCAAATTTCGGACACAGACTTCAGTCTGACTAGAAAATTAGGAAAGATAAATAATCCATATGTTTGTTTAACGTAATTGGATGTTTACAAGATAATAAAAACCAAAACAACATTACACTGGTGGTGATCGTTCTTTCTTTAATAATGGGTTCGATATCATAACACAAATTTTTTTTCCAGGTTCTAATTCGTAACCGTCCTTTTCCAGAGCAGCTTGTGCAGATTCCTACATTTATGATACAAAAAGATTTATTATTATCATTATACCAAAAGGGATGCCAATATTAACCTACCCTTTCTTTAAATTCTACATAACAGAACCTTCCTTTCCTGTATTTAGAATTTGGTAATCGTACAGAGATTATTTCTCCATACTAGAATATATAGATAAAATTAATATATAAATAAAAAAAAGAAAGAAGAAAATTATCACAACCAATACCTCATTAAATAGTTCTTTTACATCTGCAGAAGGTGGGATATTGGTGACATATAAAATACGTTCTGATAACGTATACACGCTAATCTCTTGTTCCCCTATCTTTTTCTTATCTTTAGTTAGTGCCGCAGGAACACTTTCCTATAAACAAATTATTTTTAATACCTCTTTTTTTTTTAAAGAAATAAAAAAAAAATTGTTACCCTTTCATTAAATTCAACATAAGCAGTTTTATGGGTACTAGATGCGTCTTCCAAGATACGAATATCTTTAATTCCTCCACACTAATGTTTGATAAAAATACGTGTAAACATTAGGTAGTAATATTACTAATATTCTTTATTTATACATACTTCATGAAAAAGGTTTTTCAATTCCCCTTCTTTTACACCGAGAGGCAAATTGGAAACAGCCACTGTGGCAAACTCTCGATCTCTGTTTAAATATATTAAATAAATTAGCATTAACTAGTTTATATATCATTTATCAATATAGCTTACCGTTTAGGTTTTTCAAATTGTTGAGCTAAATATTAAATGACAATAAAAATAATGGTAAGAAAGAATTTTATAATTACACGACGATCTTACGCAGACCAACCTTTATTTCTTTTTGCTGATGGTAATTGTTGTTCATTCTCTTCAGATTTTCTTTTCTTTGCTTCAGAAGAATTCTGCTCAGAGGATAGATGATCAATAGTTTGTAAAGATTCATCAATTTGCATTGCTGGAGTAATCTGGGATGATCCTTCGTTCTGAACCTTCTGAACCTCTTTCAAGGCCTATAAATTATAAAAATTTATTCTACAAATATCAATAATATTCTGCATAGAGATTTTAGTACTTACTTTTTCGCGTCTTTGGGCAACAATCTTCATTTGCTTTTTTATACATATCACCGCGAGTTCCAAATGATCAACTGTTCCATATTGATGCTCAAATTGTTCCCACGCATCAAATATGCGCTCAGGCCAGTCGGTATTCTGTTGTGAAGCCTTTTTGTAAATCCTACGAGCATCAATAATATTTTCGGCAGTCCTAATATATATGAACACATTTAGCCTATTAAATTACAATAAAGGAAATTAACAAAAAAAAGACGCACTTTTCCCAATCTGCATATCTAATCCAAAATTCGGATTCATTTCGATGATCTTTAATTAAATTCTCCCAAACCTGCCGCGCTTTAGGTAGATCTTTGATCAAAGTCTAAACAAAGGAAAGAAAAGATTATGAACTATTTCAATAATTTTTTTGTTTAATTAATATATTATTAATTTACCTCTATCTCAATCAAATATTTTTCTAAACGGTAATGAGGATCGCCAGTTTGAAATACTACGAGCAAAAGGTTACTAATGAGACAAAGAAATTCATACAACAGCAAATTAACGATAAAAAGCTTACTTTCTTTCACTGTTTTTATTCCTTCTTCAAGAAGATTTACAAGATTAGAAGAATTTACTTGACTCATTGACCCTTGATAAGTTAGAATTTGTCTTCTTTCATAGTCAACGTAAGAAATGACCAGCTTGATCAAATCATCGATATTATTCTTGAGCATACCGGTTGACAATGCTCGGTTATATACATTGACGATTTCTTCAGAACTAAAGTTTTTCTCTAAAAGCCTTATATAATGACTCCAAAGGTCTCCTGACCATGAACAATTTCGAACACTACGCTCAGCTGTTTTTATAAGAATACTAAGAGAAACTTTCTTATCTGTTAAATTTTTATCAATTAGATATAACATATAATCTTCCCATAGGGAATATTCAAGATAATAAATAGCAATTGCTCTCTCGTATAAAGTGCGTATTGCAATCACGATCTGTTTCTTCTGTTTTTTTTCAAATTCAATGTAATCCATGAATTTATCCAATGCATTTCCTGAAGCTTTCTATTAAATATAAAAACATAAATAATTATTTTAAATTTAAATTTTTGCAAAAGACATCATTAAAAATAGTCAAATAAATTTTACATACCAATGCGTTTTCATAACGATCTCTTTGGTAATATTTGTCTTTGGATTCACTTACATATTTATTGGTCTCTATCATAACGCTCTCATAATGTAAATTATCATATTGTGTTATAAATGTTGAATAATCACTAAAGGTTTTATCAATGGCTACATAAACAAAAAAGAAACAATTCAAAGGTGTGGAAAAAAAAAAAAAATAATAATTGATGTTTATAAAAATATTTCTATATTTACTCGCATGTGGGATTTTGAGTCTACTTTCGTACATTTTTCTTACTCTGCTCTTTTGTTCATCATCCCTAAAAGTAAAAAGTTCTCATGAGATAAAGAAATTATGAAAATTTAACAATATATTTTAATACCGAGGTGAGGCCTGATATCAAAATGAAAAGGCATTTATTAACATATTGTTAAGCAAAATGAAACGTAATAATAAATTAATTTACAACCTCTAGAATTTCTATTTCAAAATCTCTATACGCGTCCCATATTTGGTGACTCTAGGTAGAGATGAAAAAAAAATTTTTTTTTTTCATTAACTTAATCTAGGATAAACCATTTAATTTTTCTAATTTACCTCAGTTATATAATAACAAATTTCTCTATTCGCCTCTTCAAATATTTTGCGAACCTGATCTAACGTTACAACACATTCAGATTCATCTTTGTCTACTTGCATTTCATTAAGGCCGCTTTTGTATTCTTGAACTACATAACTTGTGTAATCCTTCCAAAGGTTGATCGCTTTTGAATCAACGCGTGGAATAAGATAAAAAAAAATTTTCCTTATGAATTTTATGAATTGAAACGATGAAAGGAAGAAATTAAATTAATAACTTACATAGATAATCTTCGACGGCTTTACCATAAAGATGAATCACTCTATGTTTTTCCTCTTTTGTAGAAGCTATTCGCGATTCATCTTCTATCCATTCGCGCCACATTTCTACAAATTTAACAAAATAAAGAGACAAAGAGGAATCTCATAAAAATCAAAAATATAAATTTCAACGTAATTTTAACGCGTAAATTTTCGAATTACCTTCTGATAAAGGAAAAATGCTGTGCATCAATTCTCGAGCTTCTTTTAACTCATCATATAATGCAGCCTGACGAAGAGCATGGATATACTGAACGTGAGTATCATATTGATACAAATTACTGGAAAGCTAAAAAGAATGCGAGGAAAATGAATCAAAATATTAAAAATAAAAGAAATAAAAACTAAATTAAAGTTTTACCTGTTCAAGCAGATTATGAATAGTTTCAGAAATGGCGTTACTATTTTCTCCAAGGGTTTCCAGTTGCAGATCAAAATCACTACTTTCACTGTCTGACGAATCCATTTTTCACGTAGGAAAAACCATTGAGGTCTGGAGTTCTTTTAACCGAATCACCGCAGATCCATACTGTATTAACGTTAATTGATCATCCGATGAACAATTTCAATAATTTAGTAGTAGCATTACAAAAAAACAAAGAAATTACTTATTTACGAAATAAAATTTTTTAATATTAAATTTAATAAGGTACTATAAACGCACAACCGAACCATTGAATGGCTGGTGTTTCGATCGAATTGGATCGAAGTTCATGGGTTAAATGGTTGCTTACTCATATTTTGACCATCAAACATAAGGTAATTTATAATTTATTAATAGCAAAAAAATACTAAATAACGTTCTCTCTAAAATATTGATATTTTTTAAAAGTTCATGGTACATAATAAGCTGAAGTTAAAAATTATTGACTTATACCATTATAGATAAATCTATATTAGTTCATGTTTAAATTGCAATTATAAATATCGATATGACATATTACCTCTTAATTGTAATGAGCTAGGGATCTTTTGAAAATCTGTTAAAAATGCATTGTAATTAATATTTCGTTATCGGAATTAAAAAGTAAAATATATATCAAACTATGAGGTGATAAGATACGAATTAAGATTCGTTTTACGTGAAATTGAAATATTTGGCCTCTTCAAATGCTTCCTTTATTTCTTTTCCATAATTTCCATATTCTTTAGTATCTTTATTCTTATTAATAGAGTAATACCAAAAAGCCAATATGATCTGGATAAGCCAACTTATTATAAAATTCAGGGGTTCCTTTTCCAAATTCTGGACGAAGTCCATTACAAACATCTAAGGATAATTTATAACCATGTTTTCTATTATAAAATGGTAAATATCAGTAGCTAAAGTATATAATTCTCCATTCAAAACTTCCTGGTGCGATATATGGTAATACTCCATATATTCATAACCCGATTTTTGCTTATCTGCTGGTCTTGTTAATCCAAAATCTGAAATTTAAGTATATTCATCTTGCATTATGAAAATCCTTATGACAATATCCTAAACTATATCATTAATTAAATCATATAATTTTCCAATTTAAAATTATTTTGAAAGATAACTTCTCAAATTTCCGATCATATAAATTCTTTGGTATCTGAACCCTTAGTTATTTCATAAATATTAATATGTGTTTATATTTATCACATAAATCACAACGTGCTTTAAGCTAGTTTTTGTAATAAATATTTAAGCAACATAATTGACATTTATTCAAGACTATGCAAGCCTTTAATAAAATCTTCAGCTTACTGGTAAATAAACAAATTTGCATCACAATAAATTTTGTAAGCTATATTACAAATATACATTTCATTAGTTATTCTCATGATTAAAACTCAATTTGCAATAATTCCCTCCTTGAAAACTTCACACAGTGTAATAAATCCATTTCTCCTTCAAAAGGTTTTTCCTTCCGCTTTGCTATAATGTCATTTGCAGTTTTTTGTCTTACTTCATGAATAAGACACAGTTTCCATTTATAAGCTTAGTTAATGTTAACTTTTTCATTTTCTAATAGAGAATACATGTTAGATAGAAAATTTAGATATAATAACTGATAATACATAATGATATATCTATCAACAGCGAATTGTGTATGATTTGCATACACTGGTCTGTAGAATTTAGCAAAATTGTCTTCACAAATAAGAGCAACATTTGAAGGTAAATCATCAGATAAAACTTGTCATAATGCCTTTGATAATGATGCATTACACAAAAGAATCAAGCGATATTATTGTAATGAAAGATTAAGATAGTTTCAGAATTTTTCCATTATTTTTTTTGCTTCGTTAGATACTATTTTTCAATTAATTACTTGTAGTTTTATAGTTTTGTATTAACCCTATTCATTGAAAGCAAACTGTAATAAGTTTTGTTTGATTAAAAACTTTATAGTAAGTGAATCCATCTATTACCCTTTCTTGTCCATTTTTGACAATCATATTGCTTATAAATTCTTTGTAAATCTGCTTACTATTCACATTGTGATATTTCTGATATTCAGAAAATTGTTCTTTAATATATATAACTTATATTATCTAAATCTGATGATATCTCCATTGTATTTTCTATAAAATCAGTTCTGTAATAAGCTCTACAGAGAAATTTATCTATATCAATTTGTTGATAACTGATGATATAATATAGATGGAGTCTAAATACCTAAAAGCGAAGGTTTAAGTTCTCCTAGTCTTATCATATGAAATTTTTTTCTTGAATTATAAGTGTTTTTCAGAATTTTACCCAAACAGCACTCAGTTTACATGCATTTATTACTATGCATCACACCTAAATATATAGTATTCTTATGTAAAATGATGCTCACATAATTTCATGTTGAAATACTAATATTTCTATGCTACTTAAGTCTATGTAAGTTAATTGAAACCTTTCTGAAATTCTTTTTAATGAAGAAATATTTAAGCCAAGTATCACATGTATAACTGGTTGAGTCATATTAACTGCAACTATTTTAATGTTATATCTATCTATCAACTTTTTTTTACGTATTATATTACCTCATAAAGGTTAATTTATTCAAAATTTTTTGCAAAAACACATTTTTCTAAAAAGAATTCTAAAGTATAAACATGTCCCCTAATATCTAATAAACATCGATAAAATAAAGCTGTGGTTGTAACATAATGTTTGTTTAAACCAGAATTTTCTTAGATTATTTTAATTGTATCAGTGTTACTAAGTAAATCTAATAGAAGTAGGGTATATTGATCTTATAATAATCTGAGATAAAAGTTGCTCAAGTGTTTCTGAAAGGATAAAGATAAAGAATATATTTTTGACAGCTTTTTCACAACTCAATTGCATTTATGACTATACAAAATATCATTTCATCTATATTGATCAACTTATTTGTTTTATCTACACATAATAAAAAAGCTAATATATTGCTATTTTATTGTTACTGGTCATACTTATTCATAATAATAGTCTTCAAAACTATTTTTAGCATTAAATCTCCTTTTTGTGAATATAATTTTATACATTAATTTACAAAATTTTTATACTGCATATTTGAATTTCCTTCTATAAAATAGCAATGCAGAATCTGTATATAAAGTATGATTTCCTCTTCAAGTCTAATATCATTATCAGATGTTACTGATCTATTACCAAAAGTTATTACTACTGCTATTGTATTTGCAAAAATCTTTCACATCAGATTATTTGCATCATTGAGTATCCTCTCCTGAACGAGATTTTTCAGTTTTTCAAGCAGTCTAATTTTTCCTATTTTAGGGTCTTCAGCGACAAAAGGAATAGGATATATATTTTTATCAGAAAAATTACGTAAATAATTAAAATACTAAAAAATTGAAATTACGTTCTAAAAAAACTTATAAGCTATTAACCAATAAAGCAATTTACATTATTAAGAAATTAATAGCATGAACACATTTGATTATAATATTGAATATATTGATAATAGTAAAATATCAGGATAGCGTTTATAAGGAAATATCCACTATAAGATGCTATCAAGGGAGCTCTAATTTGATTATTAAGAAGCATTCTCTTGAATATTTTAACGTAAAAAAAGAAAAAAAGAAAGGCAAGCAGTGTTTGATTAGGAAAGAGAAGCAAGAGATTAAGTATTTAACATTAGTAAATATATAACACAGATTAGAATGAAGCAACGGTAAATGATTAAAAAATACGTATTTAAATATTTAAAATAGATAAAAAGAAATATATATTCTGACAAAACAAAAAGAAATAATAAATAAAAGTAAGTCAGTCAATAATGCAACTGATATATCAAATAAATAAACAAAATGAAATGAATGAAAAATAATTTTTTGTAAAGTTTTTTTACGCATTTTATTTATTATCTTTTTCATTATTGAATTCAACTAATTTACCTTACAGTTTTATTATTTGATCCTCCTACTTCATCTTTGTCAACTCCAACTTTTCTTTTTCTTTTTTCAACTCAACTATCTTTTCTTTGTATCTTTTTTTCAGTTTTTCATTCAAGTCTTTTTCTTTCAACTTATCTTTCAATTCATTTAACTTCATCCCTTTATTTTTTTCCATACTTCTAACCTCTTCTCTGCCTTCTCATAATCTTCTCTTACCATCTCTAATTCTTTTTCAATTCTTTCATATGTTACCATTCTTTAGAATTAAAAGATTTAAAAATCGATTTTTTAAGATTTAGATTTTTATCTTTTTATCTCATGTGGCTGTTTTAGATTTAAAAAAAGAATGAATTCACAAAATTTGATAAAAGTTACTTGGGTTGTTTTAATGTTTTATTCTGTTCTTGATTAATAATTATAAAAAATAAACCTCTCTTTCATTGAAAAAAATAAAATATAAAGAAACGATTTTCTTTTTTTTGAAATTTTCACATATAAAATGAATCCATTAAGCAATAGACCTTTATTTTTTTTAAAAAAAATTCACTAACTTTCAATTTGTAATATATTTTATTATTTTTATTATAATTATTCCTATCCTAAAATTGATCCAGTTAAAATCTGAAATAGATTCATGAAAATACCAATTTAAAAAGGATTCTTTAATATTTCTAGTTTTAGCAGGCCGATGAATATTAATGTTTGGACTTCGAAAAAATGGTTTTCAATAAATATCTATTGATGAATTGCTAATAGTATACTAAAAGTCAAGGGTTTTTCCATTACTAGCATATTCAATACAAAATGATGCAAGCATACCTTCTAATCCAGCTTAACCTTTTCACTAAAATAAAGATTTCTATTCTCTTGGATATCATAATAGAATGTCACGTGTTGTTCTTTGGTAAAATCTGATGCCTCAATAAATTCTGTCGAATATGGACCCTGTAAAAAAAGGGCTAGAAAAAAAAATATTGATACCCACAATGATTAGTAATGAAAATCGAAACCTGAATATTTCATCTGAAAAGTAAATCCGATTAACAGATTAACGAATTGTCACAGACTACAACTAATATACATAACTCTATAAAAATACGCAAAAATAAAATTATATAAGTTCATTATATATGATAAAATTAATCATAAACATTACATAAGCTAACCCATATATTAACGTTAATATTTAAACAAATAATATTCTATTTATACTGTAATTTTTGCGTATGAGCTTAAATCAATTTCCAAAGCATACTGCTTGACTCGATCTTTTATCCAATGTGGTTTAGCCTTGACAACAGTTTTTTTGGAGGTATGAAAGGGTTGTGTTCGGTAATTCATGTACAAATTCTTTGGTAGGACAAAATAAAAGTAAATGTCACCAATCCCCGACTTGCCACCTAATTTGTCGATAAGTTTTTTCAAACCATTTAACTTAATGGGATGATTCTTAGCAATAGTTATTTGAAAAAGTTTATCAGGTGCAACAATTGCATCTATCGACTCAAAATTTTGATTCAATGGTTGATAATACTTGTTGTTTTCGATAGCATCGATTGTAGAAAACATAAGCTTCTCATCCTGTCTAGGCATTTGAATGTAAAAGGAAGTTGATGTAGTGGATGCATGATCTAAAAGACGAACCCTGAAATTTCCTCCATTTCGTAGAATCCGGTGAGAAAATTGTTCAAAAGTGCTGCCCAAAAGTGGATTACTTATGCCATCTGATAAGCTTGCATTCAGTTCGTTACGTAATTTGTTCATTAAGACATCTTGAAGTTTCTTGGTCACCAGTTCAGAAACATAATAGGACGCATATTTTATAATTGTCTGCGTATAAGGACTTTTATCATTTTCACAGCCTATGCCCGCCGCTTCAATTTTCTCATCGTCTTCGACATCTTCACCGCTTTCAACGTTTTCGTCTTCGATATCTTCGATAGGGGCATTAGTATATATATGAAGGAGCTTGTAACTCATGTCACTTACATGATCACTTTCGCCAATATAATTCAATAATCTTTCATCGCATGTGTCAATTGCATTTTGGAGCGACTTTTGCTGAGATTCATCATAAACCTTCTCTAAGACGAACCGAGGGATTCCTCCCCATTGATAAAATAATTCTTCAACCATACTTTCCTTAAGATTATTGAAGATCATATATTGATTTCTTCCCATGTCCAAACAGGCATATACCGTATCGTCGTCCCAATATACTTATCAAAGTTTCTATAATGATCTTTCCTGGGCGAACAGACAAGAATTGTTTTTGCATTAACTCTCTTTGGTTCTTTGCCATCCACGATATACCAAACTTCGGGGTTACTTTGGTATTGTTTAATAACGGATTTGTCGTCAATATAAAAGACTTCTTCTTTGTCAAAAACAATCCAATCATCCGTAGCATTGTTGTCGTATATAATCGTTTTCTTTTCTATTGCAAGTAGATAAAGCAAATAATAGCCGAACAATGTTTTTCCAATACCGGGATTTCCGGTGATACGCAATCTTTGTATTTCCCTATTAAAAGCAATATCGGCTAGGTCTCGATAGCACCTACGGATGTATATGGTGGTTGGTTCTAATGGTTCTCCTAAAAAATGTGTGTTCCCGGGGAGCTGGAGAAAATTTCCGGGTACAGTAATCTTCGCATCCTTTAAATTTTTCCAAAATTTATTCAGATTTACTGAGCGTCGGTCTATGTATGAATAATAATGAGATACAAATTAAAAAATGAATTGGCAGGCTGTTTGTTATATTCGAATAAAGTCATGGTACTTACCCTTATCCTGTTCTACAATAACGATATTGTGTGATTAGGGAAGAGAAGCAAGAGATTGAGTATTCGAAATTAGTAAATATACAATGAAGCGACGGCAAATGATCAAAAGGTGTAATAATAAATAACCAAAGTAAAAAAAAAGTTAGTTAACTTTGCAAAAATTTACTAAATAAATAATAAAATAAATAAATAAACGAAACAGAAAATAATTTTTTGTATATTTTTTTACACACATTTTGTTCATTACCTTTTTCATTATTGAATTCAACTAACTTAGCTTGCAGTTTTATCACCTGGTCATCCCACTTCATCTTTGTCGTTTCCAACTTTTCTTTTTCTTCCTCCAGTCTTACCAGCTGCCTCTTCTCCTCTTCACTAATGTTGCTTCTTCTCACCTTATTCCTCAACTCCTTTAGCCATTTCCCATCGTCTTCTCCTTCTTCAAACGTCTGCAAATTCTTCTCCGCCTTCTCATAATCTCCTCTTGCCTTCTCTAATTCTATTTCGATTCTTTCGTATGTTGCCATTCTTTAGAACTAAAAGATTTAAAAATTGATTTTTTTAAAAAACTTTTTTTATTGATTTAGATCGTCATCTTTTTTTTATCTCACGTGGCTATTATAGATTTAAAAAAAATGATATTCTGTTCTTGATTAATGATCGTAAAAAATGAACCTCTCTTTTATTGAAAAAAATAAAACATAAAGAAACGATTTTCTTTTTTTTGAAATTTTCACATATGAAATGAATCCATTGTGCAATATACCTTTATTTTTTTTAAAAAAAAAAAATTCACCGACTTTCAATTTGTAATATATTTTATTATTTTTATTATTTTTTTTCAATTTGTAATATATTTTTATTATTTTTATTATTTTTTTTTTAATTTTTTTAATAATTCTTCCTATCCTAAAATTGATCCAGTTAAAATCCATGAAAAGAAATCCAATTTAAAGGATTCTTTTAATATTTCTCGTTTCAGCAGGCTGATGAATGTTAATGTTTGGTTTTTTTTTTTTTTGCTTTCACGTAATCCTTACGTATTAAAAAATAAATAACTATATTACAATGCACTTGTTTAAAAAAAAATACATTAAATATTTTTGAGAATGTTAACCAAAATATTTTGGACTTCGAAAAAAATGGTTTTCAATAAATATCTATCGATGAATTGCTAATAATATATTTATTAAAAGTTTTCTATATACAGAAAAATTTGAATTAATAAGACTTCATATGAATCGTTATAAAGATTATAATTTAATTATTCTCACCTTTTCCATAAAAGAACCTTGTTCCATCTTCAAAACCTTGACTCCAGAGATTACATTTTGTATGTAAAGTTTTACCAAGTGGTTTTGGTCCACAAAAGAAAACACCAATGTCCGTCGCCTTATATAAATCTCTCATATTTGAGAAAATCTTGTCCCAATTAGGTCGTCCAAAATGCGTTGGTGCACGAAGACCCGTGATCGTATCTTTAACATTACCATCGTCATTCACGAGAATGTTTCGAACCTCTGAATGACGTAATCGACCCGTAAGGTATATATGAGTTTCAATGAATTGATCGATATCTTGCTCCTCAATAGCTAAAAGCAATGATTGAAACCATTCAAATGACTGAAGAGAGGATAAACAATCAGGAAAAAAAAAATGATGAGAAAAACCGAGAGAGAAGAAAAATTATCCTATCTTACATCATAATCACGGCAAATCCAGAAAAAGTAAACTTTGGATAATTTAGTCGATTTTGTAGGGTAATTAACTCGATACCAAATACTTTTAAGGATACTAGCAAATGGGGTGACACCAATACCAGCACCAACAAGCACGGATACTTCAAATTTGAATACATCCTCGGAAGCACTTCCAAATGGACCATCAATCATAATCCTAGGTAAAACTTTTTGAAGTTCCGGATTATTTGATGAAATATCAATTCCATCATATTGACTTTTTATACGATTTCTGTTTTCTTTACGAATCTTTAATTCTTCGTCAAAGTTACATCCTAATTTTTTAGATAGGGATTCGGTAAAATCACCGACTACGCGAATATGCACAGATATAAAATCTTCCTCGGGTGCGGATGTCAAGGTAAAAGGATGCCATTGCCAAAGTGATACTTCAGGGCAGCATAAGAAGATATATTGCCCGGCTTTAGTCGTCATGGCAGGTTTCTTGATTTGAATTTCGACAACACGTGAGGGGTGCATGACGACTTTTGAAATATAAGACGTTTGTCGTGCACGAATTTCTCGAAGGACGCGTTCACTAGTGTAAATCACACCCGAAGCTATCCAATATCTCCAGAAAACAGCAGTAGTTTCACCACACTTTGGTTCTCTATCAAATTTGATCATACAAAATGCCCCATGGAAAGCCCAAGCTCCAAAGAATGGAATAAACAAATGGTGAAGGTACCAAAACCTATTAAAATGACTTCGTCTTGCCTTTTCAGTCGCAGTAGCAACCATAATTAACAAGGATATAAGCATCACATAACCAGTTGCGCCAGGTCCCGATAAGAAATTAAGCTTAAGCCAAAATACAATTGGTGAAGGATCGTTCTTGGCAACATTTAAAAAATTGATCCAATGAGAAAAAGTATGAATTAAAGTGAAAGTTAAAATAGACCAGCCAATGGCTTTGTGAAATTCGATATTTTCATCGAAAGGAATTATGTTATTAAGGGGTGTTGCACGGAAAACGGAGATCAAATTCCTACAAACAGGGAATAAAATCATGGCAGCATCAACGTGAAGAACCAATGCAGCTGATCTTGCAAACGAATATGTGATTCCGAAAGTAGCTCTCGCTTGAGTCAAATTATCACTAAAGAAGAAATTGAGAAAAGCCAAAGAAAAAACTAAACCATGAAGTGTTATCCACACACCGAAAAATATTGCACGACTCCCTGAAATGAATAATAATTAGAAAAACAAGAATTTACTTAATAAATACAACATCAAAATCTTTCTTTATTATCCTTTAAAAATTTACCTTCATTAATCATCCAAGATTGAAGCTTTTCACTCCTTGTAGTTGGTTTTTTAACAGTTACAACAGGACCGCTTACAGTTGAAGGATCAAATTTATCAAGTTGGGGTGTTTTCTTTACGGTATCACCTCTGGCTAATCTATTTGATGAAGCTTTACTAGTCATATTATTAAAAGCAGGATTACCTGCTAAAACTTTTTTTGAAGGATGTCTTTGAATGACAGCTTCATCAGGATACACCACGCTATCATGGGTACCAACGCCAGTGGAATAACTATCTCTATAACCTGCACTAGAAACATAATCACTCATATCTTCATATTCATTTGTATATCGATTGGTTTCATTATCAACATTATCAAACTCTTTCTGGTCGATATATTGATTATATCTAGGCGAAGGATTCGAGGAATTACTCATATTTTTTTTTTTTTTTTTATTATGTTTTACACTTGGAATTATTATTAATTAAATATGGTAAAATTGTTCAATTCTTTTTAAGTTTAAAAAATTTTTTTCAACAGCGAATAACCCGGCCAGCCGAGAGAATTTATTACAAAAGAAAGTAATTTTTTGGAATAAAAAAAAAAATGTGACTTGACAATTAAACAAATGGTTATGTACTTTGTATACGAGTGGACAAATAAAAAAAAAAATTCAAAAATAAAAGATCATGCCATCCTGAAAATTTATTAGTGCCTAATTTAAATAAGTTAAGGTAATTAAGGTAATTAAGCAGGAGCTAGTTTTACAGTTTTAGATAGACACTTTTTGAACCATATTTGCCTTTTATTGAAAAAGAGAACTGGATATGCATTTACTGCCCGTAAACTCCGAAACTTAAGATTTAGTTGATGAGACCACTTGTTTGTTTAAACGGATTGTATTGGTATTGGTACAATAAACAAAAAAATTCTTTGTTCGATTAAAATACATTAAATTTTATCCCTGTTATTTGGTATGAATATTCTAAAATTAACACGATCTATTAAATTTTTTTGGTGGCAGTAAAATAAGTATTGTCGGTCTATTTCATATGATGAATTTGAATAATGTCTAAACTTTTTTTTTTTTTTCCCTTTTTTATAATTCACAATTTATTGAATGAAAAGAATTTTTAAAAAAAGTTCATATTCTTTGTTTTAAAATGAAGTTTACTGCATTATCTGAAACGTGCATCAAATGTTTTTTTTTTTTTTTTTATGATCAACCTGTTTTTTAAATCAGGAGATCTTGTAATTTTATTTATTGTCCCACCACCCCAACCTTTAAATAGAGGTGGTTAAATCCTAATCGGGATGTAATTGACCATTAGTTTCAAGTTTTTTTCTGGTATTTTTTAAACCAATTAAAATTACGTCAACTACAATAAATAGTTTAAATTAAATTAATAATATTAATAAATACTATTGTATATTACACATATTACATATTTTCCACATTTTCAGCCAAATATCGAGAAATGATTAATCGTTGAATTTGTGAAGTTCCCTCATAAATTTGGAAAATTTTAGAATCACGGTACAATTTTTCGACAGGATATTCTGCGGAAAATTTTTTTTTTTTCAATTATAAACGATAATATAATTACCAAGTTCGTAAAGTCATGTATATAATTACCGGTATTGTAACCGTTTCCGCCAAAAATTTGGACAGCATTACTAGCCGTAGTAACTGCGACGTCAGATGCCAACTACAGAATTAATGTTTGAATGGAAACATATTCTATAAACCGTGTTTCTACGTATCAATATACAAGAAACGAAGGTCATACGTACCGCCTTTGCGATAGATGCGTAATATGTATTTCTTTGGTTTTGATCGCGCAACCAGCCAGCCTGTAAATGTATTATTATAAATATAACAGACCTTTCAATATTCGCACAATCATGTCAATGTCCTTACCTTCCAAACCATGTTTCGCGCTGACTCAACTCCTATAGCAGCATCAGCAAGCATAAACGCTACACTTTGGTGATTGAATCTATATGAATGGAAGCCCAAAATTGATGAACGATATTAGTTCCATATAAAGAATAAATGAGAGAGATAATGAAAAGGACGCATGATAAGCTCACATTTTTTGTCCCATGGTTTTTCTTTCAAGAGAATATTTGAGGGCTTCTTCCATGGCACGACGAGCCAATCCAACAGCGCCAGCTGCGACTAACGGACGGGTAATATCAAAAGCAGCCATAGCAATTTTGAACCCTTTACCAGGAGTTCCAAGGCTGATTCCATGATAAAATTAACGTGATGATATTCTTAAAGAATCACTAAAACCATACAAATTATTGCCTTACACATTCTCTTTGGGCACAACAACTTCTTCGAATGTGATGCCTCGTGTATCACTTGCACGTTGACCTAAATTAATTTCTTTTCTACCAGGTGTAATACCGGGTGTATTTGCGTCAACAATAAATCCCGTAAATGCGGCGCCGGGTTTTGCGTTTGGATCGGTTCGAGCCAGAACGAAATACCAATTGGCTTTACCGCCATTAGTGATCCACATCTTTTGTCCATTTATAACCCATTTATCACCTTTCAGTTCTGCTTTTGTTCCTATTCCCGCAACGTCCGAACCTGCACCAGGTTCTGTTACACAATAGGCTGCCATAAGTGGTTCTTCTGACATACGACCTAGGTATTTTTGATTTTGTTCCTTATTTCCCGCGACAATTAATGGGGCTTCCGCGAGTCCATTTGCCTCAATGGCCGTCTGGATACCCGTACAACCCCAAGCCAATTCTTCAGTAACTAAACTAGACTCGAAAACACCTAGTCCAAGACCACCAAATTCTGCGGGAATATGAGTGTTTACTAAACCAAGTTCCCAAGCTTTTTTAATAATGTCCGTTGGATATTCCCCAGTTTGATCATGATAAGCTGCTTTTGGCGCTATTTCTTCGTGAGAGAATTTACGAGCAAGTTCTTGAAAATTTTGTTGTTCTTCAGTCAAAGTAAAGCACGGTCCACTTGTACTGACAGCTGACGCGAAGGTACGAGCTGATAATACAGAGGTGGAGCGTATTATATTAGAACGAAGCTGACGTGTAAAAAGGGGTCGTAACATTTTATTTTTGTCATTCAAAGGATAAAAATATCGAAAAGTCTAATTTCTTCGATGAAGCCGAACGAGATATAGTAAAAAAAAAAAAAATTTCGTGTTATTGTAATTTCTACAATAAGGTAGATCAAAAATTCGATTATCACATCACATCACATTTTTAAATTTATCACGTAACTTAAAAAAAATTTTTTTTTTTTTTTTTACGTAGTTAATAGTGAATAATGAGCGCTTCAGGAACACCCACGACCCCTAAAGAAACGCTTTCTAATGTTAATGTGACTGCAGCGTTGGATGTTGAAGGAAATTTTCCATTAGAAAGCGTTCAAATTGACGGTTTGGTATGCTGCCATTTATTATTGATCAAAAAAAAATTGGTCAGATCGGAAATTATAAATCATTTTCGTTTCTCATAAATTTTAGGTAGTTCTTAAAATTATCAAACATTGTCGCGAGTTTTTTCCAAGTCCAGTAACCGGACAACTTCTGGGCCTCGATGTTAACGGTGTCTTGGAGGTAACAAATTGTTTCCCGTTTCCTGGAGCCAAGGCTGAAGACGAAAATGAGCTTGTAGATGGTATTTATTACCTGTTTACAAAAAATAATAATAAAAAAACTTTAAGTGATCCTTAAAACATTTGTTTAGGAGCTAGATATCAAGTTGACATGATGCGTTGTCTTCGTGAAGTAAATGTCGATAATAATACAGTCGGATGGTATCAATCCACATACTTGGGTTCTTTTGTGACCCACAAATTGATTGAAACCCAATATAATTATCAACAGACTTTTAATAATAAAAGTGTTGTAATTGTGCATGGTATGATTCGAACACCTAGGCGTGTTTTGTAAGATTTTCTGTTTAATCACAATTTCTTTTTATCTTTAGATGTTTCTCGTTCCACGCATAGTAATCTATCATTGCGTGCTTTCAGATTTTCACAAGCTTTCATGGAAGCGCAAAAGGAAGATAAATTTACCACAGAATCCCTAATAAAAAATAAGCTCACATTTTCAAATATTTTTGAAGAACTTCCGATCACTGTTAAAAATTCCCATCTAGTGACGGCACTTCTTCATTCCCTAGATGATTATGAACATGTTATACCGAAATCAGCTTCTTTAGATAAAGAAAAAGTGGTCAGTCCATTAAGTCCAAATTTTGATACACTAGAGTTAAGTCTCGATCCATATATCGAAAAGAATTTAGAATTCTTGTTGGAATCTGTTGAAGAGCATACACAAGAGCAAAATACTTATGCGTTCTGGCAACGAAGCGTTGCTAGGGAACAAACAAAAATACAGGTTGCCCTACAAAAGAGAGTAAGTCATTCTTTACAAATTTTAATTAATAATACTATGGAATTACCTATACTAATGTTATTATCTCTAATTAAAGAAACAAGAAAACGTATCACGACTCGCTTCTGGACTAGAACCTCTTCCAGAAGATGATATCCATAAAAATCATAAACTTCCTGCCGAACCTTCAAGACTCGATTCCTTACTAATTACATCACAAATCAATAATTATTGTAAACAATTAAATCAATATTCTGGGCCAACTCTTGGAAAGCTTTTTATATCAGGAGAATTACAAAAATAAATAAAATGTTAACACAACAAACGCTTGTGTCGCTTCAAAATTTGAGAGATATCATGTTTTTAAAAGTAAAATACATTTTCATCGTCAATTTTTTATGGACATCAAATCACATGTTTATTTACAAAGATTCTATAGCGATTAAGATGCTAAATAAAAATTTCCATAATATTATTAACTTAATTGTAATATTTTCCAACTATATAATGAAATTTTATTATGAAACTAAATGTTGAATTATTGTTTATTAATTTTTTGGTAAGAAAAGTTTCGTTTCGTTTCTTTTTCTTTTCTTTTTTTTTTGATTAAGAATCTTGCTCAAATAATTCGCGAAAAAAACTTTATTATAGGTGAATTTCTTACATCCAGAACGGTTATCAATGGTGCGGCACATCATATCTTCATTTATATCTTAACTATAATTCTGATTGTCAGGGTTAAGAAAAAGGAAAGATCAGATTCATTCATGAAATATAAAGAAAACTAATAAATAATAGTAATTAAATTCTTTAAAATAAATTTATTATAAATTATTATTATCAATTTATTCCGTTTCAATACACCTACCTGAAGTTTATTATTATTATTTTTTTTTTTTTAAAAAAAAAAAAATTATTATTTATTTATTACCTTGTTCTATCTTTAGAGTTGAGAAATTCCAATCATTGAGCTTTAATAACAAAGAGAAAATTTCACAAACATTTCTTAACGACCACGACCACGACCACCACGAGTACCACGTCCTCGCCCACGTCCACGTCCACGTCCAACACCAACGGCTATTGAATTTAAGTGATATCGTTAATACTATCCATAATACTCCGTTGAATCATAAAATGTGAGGAAATAACGTACCTTCTTTCTTTTTGGCTTTAGCCTTTGGTGTATCATCAACTAACAATGTATCCAATGGAAGTGAATCAGGTAGAATATAATATCTAATATTATTTCCTCTAATGCTTAAAGAATCCAAATTGACGGGATCTTTGTTTTTTACGGTCATTTTGACTGTTTTAAGATGAGTATTCATGCTCATGTCGACACCTGTTAAACAAAAGGTTATGTTAATTTGCTTTTAGGCATAAATGAAGAAGAAAAAAAAATTATAAACCCATACCAGTTATCGTTCCATGAACTATCGTCCCGTTCTTGAGTTCAATCGTGACGGTTTCATTATTCAGTTTCATCAAAAACCTGGTTTTTTTTTAAAGAAAAGATTAATAACAAATCATCAAATAACTTTTTTTTAAAAAAAAAAAATAATATAAACGATATTACAAACCTTACGAGTTTCATGGTTAACTACTTTATTTCAAGAAAAGAAAATTTTCACTGAAAATTTTTGATCGATGGTTTAGGCAACTCAAGACTGCATAGTACTATGTCCCAAAATTTATACCACCAAACAAAAAGCAAAGAAACGACTTACCCGCAAAAAATGTTTTATCCCTTTGGTAATAAAAAATTATCAAAAAAAAAAAAAAAAAAAAAAAAAGGTTCGATATTTCAAGTATATATACAGTATATAAAAAAAAACAAAGGTTAAAAGTTAAACGTGAATCGAAATTTTTTTTTTTTCCGATAATTACATTGTACCTGTTTACATGTTATTGATAACTGATTGTTTTTTAAAATAAATTAAAAAACAATTAACGGAATATCAATCAAAGATAATTATCACGCTTTAGTAAACTTGGAAGTTTTATTATACCATTCAAACAAGAATAAACAAGAATTTTTTTATTCTCCCTCACGAACTGACTTTCATTTGTATATAATCACTGATTTTTTCGATTTAGCATAATTTTGATTTCTGCAGTAAAGTTGGTATTTCCAAAATCTATAATATTAACAGATTTCAGAATTAAATTATGTATATAAGTAAGTCTCTTTGCTAAAAGATACAAAGTCTTAGTGGTCAAATTATCAAGCCTTTATTTAATAAAATTTACTTTACAATTTGCGATTTTTAATGAAAGTATATATTACGAAATTTAACAATCTCGAGCTAGATAAATATTATAATTAATCAAAATAACAACTCTTAAATGATTTCCACCAGTTATTGTCGTTTAATTGGCTATATATTAAATATATAATAAAGATTAGAAACAAATGTTTAAGAACACGAGTATAAAAGTAAATTATGAATTAAGTTTTTACCAATTTTCTATCAATGATTTTTAGAGTTCCATTTGGTAAGATCGTACCAATGTCGCCGGTACGAAGCCATCCATCGGCATCAATCGCTTGAGCTGTTTGTTCAGGACGTTTATAATATCCTTTCATGACATTTGGTCCTCGTACACATATCTATTATCAAGTGACAAAATAAATTAGATTACATCGATAAATTCTGTATCATTCTCACCAGCAGATTTGACACATACTTCTCCCCTAGGATTAGGCTTGTCCTCGACAGTATAACCCTTCTCTTCATAATTCACCAACTTGATTTCATTACATGGAATTGGTCCTCCAGTATGTGATTCATGCCCGTTTCGATCAGCTGGTTGGTAATCGAAAAACGCATTAACTGTCACAGCACCACTGCATTGAGTAAGACCATAAGCTTGAATGACTTGACAACCAACAGTGATACGAAGGAAATTAAGCGCAGTTTGAGAAATTGGTCCTGTCATTTTAACAAAGTTTCGTATAAACATTTGAATTTCCCATTGCGTTAAATTATAGTGATGGTAAAAATAAGACGCGAGATTTTACCAGATCCGGTGACAATGACACGAACTTTTCCTCCAAATTTTGCTTTGATCTTATTAAATATCAACATATCCCAAATTGAATTTGTAACTAACTTTCCTTTTCTTAAATGGTTTAATTTAGATGCATATCCTTTTTCAAAAAACATTTCATTACCAAACGTTTGTATCATCGTTTCATGAAATCGAATTAAAAATCGGGGTGAGCTAAGGAATAAATAAGAAAAGAACAAATTTAATATCGAAAAAAAAACTTATTTTATAAGAAATAATATTCGATCAAACCTGGTGAAGATTGTAGGTTTAATTTCTTCGGCTTCTTTTAATACAGTCGATAAATTTCCACTATAAAAAGCAATTGATGCTCCAGAATATAAAAGGGCAATAACTGTAATTCTCTCAAGCATATGAGCTAAAAGATAAAAGATAAATAAATAAAAAAAAAAATAATCTAGAAACAGTTATAAACAAGAAAAACCTATAAATTTTACCAAGTGGCAAATATGACAAATGTCTATCGGCGGGAGTGACTTTTTGAGAATTTGGGAGTGTCGAAAGCAATCCAGCTGTATTTCAAATTATTAAAATCATGTATGTATAATGTAAATAAACGATCCATAAACGTCTTTCGAAACTCACCTACGTCAGCAACGAGATTCTGTCAATTTCCGTGATAATGTTAATACTTATTTTATATTGCGTTAATCATAACAAATGAAATGTTTATATAAACTTACTGCTTGTGTCAATTCAATTCCACTCGGTTCCTACGAAAGGAAACAAAAAAATTTAAGACGTTTATGAAAAAATAATAATTATAATATTAATCTAGCTACATACACCCGATGTAGTGCCACTTGTAAAAACAATTGTCGCTGTATCTTCCGGCTCTAATGATAACAATAACGAAAGTTACCAAAGTTAATTATATATTAAACTAGCTTAATGATCGAATGTGTGTCGTTATTGAGTTTTACCAGCAAAAACAAAGTCTAGTTTAGATCGAGTGCCTAATTCTTCGATATCCTTAAATGTTGTTAAGGTTAAACCAATCGCTTTAGCCTTTTCACTTTGATCAGGAGAAATTGAAGGCTCATTCAATATGACATGCTTCAATGATGCACAAGATTGTGCAGCACTGAAGATCATTGGGAGTGTATCCTTGGATACGACAACTACTCCGATTTGAGTAAGATTGATTTGATTTATGACATCATTTAAACGCGGAGGAATGTTTGGAATAGATACTGTAATTAAACTATAATAACTAGAAACTTTTTGAAACAATTTAAAAATTTTTTAATTCATGAAAAAAATTATCATTAAAATAAATGCTTAGAGATCTTATATTTACCCAAATCTGCAATCACCCATTCTTTATTGGCAAGAAAAAAAAAAATTTAATTTAAAATTTCAAAAGAATCGAAATTCTTTGGATCGGTAATTCATACCTGGACAACTATTCATAAAGATTCCAAACATATTTAATGACTTGGGTGCCAAACCCGTTGATTTTATCATCCCTGATCCAAAATTTGCAACCCTTTCGGCAATTTTCTCTATAATTGATATACGGTTCATTTTAAGATAAATTTACATCATTGTTTTGATTTTCTAAATTCGTTACTTACGATATGAATCCTAACATTTAATTAAAAAAATTAGATTTCATTTAAATTTTGTTTTTAAAATCAAACGAATACAAATATACGTACCCATTCAAAACCATTAGCACCTTTGAAACCAAGGCATTCTATTCCAAGTTTTTTTCCGTTCTCAAATAAATCGGCAATAATTTTTATACTTTTATCGGGGCTTGTCAATAAAGGCAAGCCATGAGCAGAATTATTTGCTCTGTAAATAGCAGTTTCTCCGGGGTTACGAACTTTGGTGCATTCAGACTGTGAAGTCAATAATAAAGGGTGTACATCGGGACTTGGAGCATCATTAATTGAAAGAAATGTAAAAAATATAATTAAAATTAATAAAATAACGGATAAAGTATCAATTTCCATTGTTTTAAAAAGTGAGACGAACAAAATTAATTATTTTCTCACGATTTTTTAAACTATTTTTTATTCTTAATTTGAGATTACACATGTATTACCTGGTTATTTATTAATTATTATACTTTGTCACACAAAAAGTACATAATTAAGATTTGGTTAATTAACCGGTTATAAACGCTTACGTGGTGCAAGTAAATTTTTGGCTCATCAACCTAACCCCTGACCAGTCTCATACTTGGGAACTGTGGATTCACCTGAGCACACTGACTTTTCTTTTTCTTTTCTTGGTGATAACATTAGTCATTTAGATATGTATTTAGTGGGTCTGTTGGAGAGAAAAGACGATGATAGGTCGATTCAAACGGGTTTGTAATATAACGAGGGATAGCTAATACTTGGAATAGTTTTTATTTCTCAATTTGTAATTTTGATTTTATTAATTAATAAAGTGACTGGCCAGTGTCGCATCATTAAAAAAAAAAAATTTAAATTAACTGGTTATATAATTCTAAATATAACTGTAAAAAAAGTTTCTTAAAAACTCTTTTTCCCCTCCAATTTTTTGGTAACAAAAAATTATTAGACAATAAAATTGTTTTTCTATGAAATATTTTAATATTTTACAACTTATTTAGATGGTTTATTGCAATCTTCTTAACAAACATTTTTATTAGAAAGAGTTTTATAAAAATTTTACAACTTTATTATGATTCTAAAGGTAGATAAGTAACAAAAATAACAAGTTAAGTTTAACCCTATAAACAAACAACCAGAACCCATCGCTTTAACTTTAAAGTAAAACTTTAGTCTATGTACATTCAACTAAATGAAAAACAACCAAAAAGTAATCTAATTGTCTCAAATAAAAAGGAGTAGAAATACTTTAGAAGTTAAAGATTTAAATTATTAAATTATTAATTAGAATTACACAATTATTACTATCAGAACAACTGCTTCTATAGAAAACATGTGTTGACAATAAAAAAGAAAGCTCACCCTTGTTACAAATTTCTTTTGTCTTCTTTTATGTGCTGTTTTAGCTGCTTTATTTTTAGATCAACCTTGATGTTACTTTTGTTTATATAAATAAATTATATTAAAAGTATTAAAAGTTTAAAATTTTACAATAGTTTTTGGAAGAAATGAAACTTTTGTAAAATGAACTTAAAATAAATCAGAAACAATACTTTAATAAACAAAGTAAATTAGAAATAATATTTTTATTATAATTAAATCAATATAAGATTCAAAAATAATTTATCAATATAAGATTTTAAGTAAATTAGAAATAATTTATAAATACATTAAATGAAAATAAACTTATCAAAAATATTAAATTTAAATTATAAAGAAATTTAACAATTTATTATAATAATATAAATAAAATTGTTTATAAATAACTTCATTTTGATAAGTTCTCTAAATATTTGATATTATTTTAGCAAAAAAATGTCAAATTATAGAATACTAATTTTTACCTAAAATTTTGTGATTATATAATACTAATACATCATATTTTAGGTCAATTTGTAATAATAAACTATCAAATTTTATTTAGTAAAATACA